TTTCCCCTCCAGCGGCAAAAATAAAGGTCCAATTACGTTTTATGCTAACAGAAGACGGTACTTTCAGAAAGCAGGAGGCCTCGAACACCGACTCGAAGAGCAGACGATGGAGCAAAAGGGCATTCCAGAGGAGGAGCAGCGAGATCGAGGTTCGCCTGCACCGTACCTCTTTGACAGGATCCCAAGGACACTCGAGCGTGGATGGTCCAAAATCACCGACCACTTCCAGACGTCGTAGTTCAAGCATAGCAGTCGCCAGACCAACACCAGACTTGCACAGGTAAGCTAAGCTTGATGGATATTATCTATTTTGTTATTGTCTGATAGGAAATTTTATTTAAATGATACACGTTTACTACTGTGTGTGTGTGTGTGTGTGTGTTTCGATATTATTATAAATAATAATTTGTAATTAGTAAATCCATTTTGATTCTAGTGATTTGTGTCGGATTTTTTGCTAATTTTATTGTGAATTCGAAACTATTATCATTGGTAGTAAACGTGTAAATATTTGTGTTTTCGAATAATATTCTTATTTTTCTTTTTTAAAGGAAATTGGTCGGGCCTTTTTTAAACAACAGTATCATGCAGTTAAGTTTGTTAAATATTCTTTTATGCAGTTTTGTTCTTCTAATCTGAATTTTTTAAACAATAGTATATTTCCTATCATTCAAATAATTAGTAATTATTCTTAATTTTGAAAAAGTTTCAAATTATGCTTTGAATTATTCGTAGCTTTTTATGTTATTAGATATTTTAGTAAAGAGAAATTATTATTTTAATTATTTAATTAATTAAAAAGATTCGCATGTGATTCGCAAATTTATGTTACTTATATCGTATGCTTATTTAGAATAACAAAATTGATTTGTAAAATCAATTTGTAATATAAAAATCACGTTGTAATATAAAATCGAACAATTAATATTTATATTTAAATATTTAAGTAAAATCTCAAATAGCAGCTAATAGCTTTTTTCAAAACGGAATCCAACTTTCCCCCCAAAACAACATCAACGTATTCAAATTAATAATTATCATTTCGATTTCGAAAAAAAAATTATTATTTCTTTAAATAAAATATTCATTTTTTCTATCTATCACCAAACGATTCCTTACAACTTACCAACAACTTATTTTCTTCCCCATTTCCCAAAAGACAAAAGATGATATATCTGCATATTATATGCACCATTAATGCAGCTTGTTCTACGTGTAACATCGAAACCCATGTGTAATACAATTCTAATGCTAAATTTCTCTTATCCCGACAATAGGTTTCTGCAAGCGGAAACCGGCCCTTGGGGTCATTTATCGCCTTCGCCGAGAAGTCCCACCAGAACTCCGGCAATAAGCCCTGGAGCAGTGTCTGCGTCGTCTCATTTGAGTCCGGGAGCGAGTCCAGGAGGTCCAAGCCCAACCAGCCCTGCTGGTCCAACGGGATCTCGAGGTCCAGGACCGAGACAGTATCGTGGAAGAACGAGCAGTATGCCAGCGGTTCCTCGACACAAGGTGAGGATTATTATTCGTTCTCTATCTCTATTCTAATTCGCCAGAGAATATTATACGATATAATGTTACACGAGCAATTAATTTTTCCACATTTTAAATATTGACAGCCGTTTAACGTTTGTGAAATTTTCAATTTCTGGGGAATTTCTTTGGATGGACGTGGTTTTTTGGATTGGAATTTTGTAAAGCAATGAGGAATTGTGATGAAAATGGAAACTTGTTTTTTAAATTTTATCAATTTTTAAGGTAACAATGTTGTGGAAATAAATATTAATTCTTTAATAATTAACAATTTTTATCAATGGAGAAAAAGATTTTGAGAGAAAAAGTAACAAAAAACAAAGTATTGAAATAGCAGATGAGTGATAATTTATCCTTGCTTGTAAAAGTGTCTTTAAAATAAATAAAATAGCACACATTTATTCTAAAGCAAAAATTGATACATAACGAAATGCATCACGAAACATATTAATATATTATAGAAAAATTTGTGGAAAAGATAGAGCTTTGGTTTGAGGTTGATGTTTAATATTCATTTTAAACGAATAATTATTGTACAATACCGTGTACAAATTCAAACAATCCAAGACAAATCCTTTCAATTTTGCTGTTTGAATAGCCGTCTTAAGGTCGAACGATCCTCTTTAAGTTGGCAAATTTTTATTCGTACCGTGGAAAAGAATGGACAAAGCTGCTTTTTTTTTTTCTCTCGTTAACAATGGATCGCTACGCGTCAGCAACAAGATCAATAACGTTTCCCCATTAATTTCTGATTCTGTTGCCACTGGGGAACGGAAAATATCCGTTATATCCTTCAGGAATATGTACGTGCACCAAGTCGTCGTGGACATTTATTAAAACAGGCGGTGAAATCAATTATTACGTTCCACACTTATTCGAAACAAGGGAACGATACGTGCTACTTCAGTGATTGAAATCGAGTAAAATGGAAATTAACGCGCGTTATACTCGTGTGAAATTTCGATAAACATGCCTCGAATTGTTTCGCGGATTTATATTCGTGAAACGAATATCATGCATAATTTTAATAAATTATTTAATTTTAATTGTTGTATTTAATCGATGTTTATGAATTGATGGACGAATAATTTGAACGAATAATTTCCTATCATTTATAGATAAAAGATTTCGTTATTTCGTGATTTTGGAATTATTTAAATTGTTTTCTACGAGATGAGAGAAAAATATTTCATTAATGTGGTAAATTGCTATTACATCATTGCAATTACAATAATTTTAATTGACAATCGTTTCCGAAGTTCGTATTTAAATTAATTATTTAATCTGTATTCGATGAGGCGAGTATTCATCCATTTTGAATCTCTCTATCGAATAATGAAATTTTTGCAAATATTGTCGGATTAAATATGGCAATTAAAAAAAGTTGTGAGGATTCAGTCAACAAACGATGACCTCCTTTTTCCAGAATATAATGCAAAGAACTTCTTTCATCATTAGAGAATCTTACAAAATCCTTGAACCTTGATATATAATGTTAATCATATTTAAAAAAAATCTTTTTTTCCAAATTTTATCAGGCATCTGTTGTTTATTTATCTTTTCGTTTTTAACAAATTTCTAAATAAATAATTAAATCATTGCAAGAACTACGTATCTCAAAAAATTCATATAGCAAAAAAAAGAAGAGAATAAAATAAAATATTTTCCGAAAAAAGCAAAATAAAAATACTTAAAAAATATCGTAACAACGAAAACCTAATCACAAAGAAATTCATCATCTTCGAATGATTCTTAGAAATACAAATAAATTGAAAGAACGAGTCACTTGCAAATGCTATTTTAATATCAATAATATCGGACATTTTAATATCACAACAATCACAATATAATATGTATATATATATATATATATATGTATATAAACGAGAAACAAGTGGACTAAAAAAATCAAAGACATCAAAGAGCATTTTTTTATAAAAAAGAAAATTCGAAATGCCCGATTCATTGGCTCAACCCTCGATGTCAAAGGCCAGACCGACTTTGTGGCCACCTCTCAGAGGGTTTATACAATCGATGTTAAAGGACAGGGTTAACATGACATTGTCGTCCAGTTTCTGCTGTAGACTCATACCAAGTTGAAGATCGCTGTTGAATTTACAACGGAACGTCGATGTCTCGTCGATTTTCCATTTAGCTGCAGCGCCGACCATCCATTGTACCGTTCCACCATTTCTGCATACAATACTATTAATAGCCGTGTCCCATTCTTCGGTCACTTGAAAAATTACGAAAAATACTGTTACATCCTTTTGTCTTTAACGTGCATTCCCTTTAAAGAAATAAAACGATTTATTTCATTCGATATTGAATTTTATATGGTCGTTAAATTGGTTATTGAGGGGTTGATGTTTATATCGTAAGAAGATTAATGATATAATTGAAAAATTGAACATTAAATTAGTTAAATGAATCGTTGAATTCTAACGTGGAAGATTATAAATATGGAAAATTATTAAATTTTGTACGAAAGCTTGTGTACAATTGATTAAAATTTAATTTTAATTAATCTCTTTTATAAATTTAAAAATTTTACGTGAAAATTACGTGCAAAGTGTATCACCAAAAATAAGAGTCGAGGAAAGAAATTTTAATTCTTTTTAAAAAAAAAAATTATTGAAAAATGTAAAATAACATCTTTGTATGCAGAATTTGATTTTGGAAAAAAATCTATGAAGTTTTATTACCAGGCGAAAATTCAAATTTCCGACAGAGTACGATGTTCTGTAACAACTTTCGCTATCGTACATGCTGCTAATTAAGCAACCTAGTAACTACATATATATATAACAGAGTTTGTTTGTACTAGCTTAATTACACACATATATATATATATATATCTTCACAGCTTGTATAGAAATGATACTGTTGAGAAAATTAGAGCTTTCACAACGAAACTTGCAGTTATCTTATAATTATAATCTACAAAATGAAATCCTTATAAACATGATGAATACAATTGAGTAAAACGTGCCATTATCCTATTAACAATAATCCACTCGTTTCATTTCTAAAACATTTGACAAAGAGAATCGATAAATGATATACAATTGTTTAAAAAAATCTTCAAATTATTTTTCAGATTTCTCAAATTAATTAATTATTAACGATCATCATCGAAATTCTTAACTTCTACACTTTGAAAATTAAAATAAGAATATCGTTAAACAATATCAAATATTGCAAACCTAATCTTTGAACTAAATATTCGCATAAAAAAATTCTGCCACGAAGCTCATAACGAAAACTTCCACGAAACCTTTTCGTATCTCGGCCACTCGACAAATGCTCGCACAGCAACTTATGAAACCAGAAAAATCGATGAAAATTTGCGGTGTACGAAGTGGTGGAGGCACTTATGTACCTTCCATGCCGCCAAATTCATCGAATCTAACCTTCCTTCGAGGAAAAGAAAAGCTATCAAAACGAATAAGGGAAAATTGGAAGGAAAAAAGCCAGAGATTTGCCAGCCAAGTACAGTCATTAACCCAACATTATTTCCAGCTGTTGCTCGAGTGGTTATTTTCCTCTTGATGGACCCAGTAATTACATCCAGGACTATGCAAAGTGTAAACATGACGGATTATAAAATATGTATGGAAGCAATGAACATATTATCATAATCAATCTAGTTATCGTATAAATTTTTGTGTATATACAACGTGAGTCAAAAGTAGGTAACGTTAATCTCTAAAATCAGTTTTAAATGTTTCATTCATGATCTACAGTTTATCGACAATAATAATACGATTTAAAATGCAAAATATTCCATGGTTCGTGAAATTAAATCCTGAAAAATTCACTTTAAAGATAAATAAATTGCTTCCATATTTATACAGTATAGAAACTGATTATTGTTATTTTATTGTATCAATATGAATTACGAAGTAATCGAGAGAGGAAACGAATTTTTCTATTTTTCTCGTATGTAGAAACAAGAGTAGAAGTTAATATTGTTGTTTTATCTTTAGCCAAAGGAAACACGAGTATGAATTCAACGGTTAAACTCGATAATCCTTCGACAATGAAGGCCGAAGATTACGGACTTTAACATTGTGTTTCGCAGATCCCACGATCCAAGAGCTTTCGGCAACTTCTGCATTTAGACGTTTACTTCGTCCATAATGGATAATCGGAAGGAAGTTTAGAAATTTGCGATTTAATCGATAGTAAATTCGAGGAAGAAGTTGTTCTTGAGAGTATTGGTTTAATATTTTATCATAAAAATCTTTGAAAGAGTTTTTTAAGAAATAAATTCTTTCAGAAACTCGAAAGTGACAGAGAAAATAGTAAAAAAGTAAGATAATTGAAAAAGAAAAAGAAGAAGAAAAATTGCTTATAAAAGATGAGTTTAGGTGAAAAAAATAAATGAAAAAATGAGTAATGTTTTTTGTATTTATTTTAACATAGAAAAATTTAATCCAGTGAAAAATATTCGACAATATATTTAATAATTTAACAACAGAAAATTGTAAGAGAGAATAAGGCATCGATATTATTAGGTCAACTAGGGATTTATTCTCTGAATTGTCTAGTGATATATGATGTAGATCATATATGCATCTTAAAGTAGAATCTACGAGAATGTATAGGAAATTTTTTTATAAAAATATAGATATCATCACTGTCACATTGTTTGATATATATATGTTATCATATATATATTATCATATAATAAGTCAACTTTTTCGACATCTCTGAAAAATGATCGAGTTTTTAAGACTTGTGACAATTTTCTTGCGATGGATATATAAAATTGAGCGACAAAAGCATAAATCACACATTTCAAGGATTAAATCTAAAAAAAAACCATTTGGTTCTTTTATTTGAAAATTTCAACTTTTTCATAAATTGTATCACTAGAATGGAGATTTCAATTAAGAGAAAATTTCGAATATTTCTATATGTCAAAGTTTTCTATTTGGATATTTCAATCTCTTAACAGAGCATATTGTTGAAACGGAGAATTACAATTGAAAAACAATATTGAAAAAAAAAATTAAAAAATAGAATAGTTTGGAAATTTCAACACTTTGAAAAATTATCATTGGGACAGAGTTTTAAATTATTCTTTTATTCAAAAATTCCAATCGTTTGAAATGATAGTATTGCTAAAATACAAAAAACAAATAAAGAAAAACTTTACTAAAAAATAAATTTTTACATTTATAAAGATGTTCTTTCATTTAAAAATTTCAATCTCTTGTAAGCTTATACTGAATAATGAAACAGAAACTAATAAGAATTACAATTTAAGAGACAATTTGAAATTAATTCAATTGCAATAATAAAAAAATAATTGAAAAATAAGTGACCAGATATTTAGTACATTTTACAACTCTTTCTCAAGAACAGATTCAAGATTGTATACACGTGAAATGGAACTGCAACCCCTTTCTCCATTTTCTCCTACAATAATAAATTCCATACAATAAATTCTTTTATGAAAATTTTATCCCTCTTCGCACAATATTCGCAATATTTTAACCATGTACGGAGTAAAGTTTGAGAACAGTTTACTCGAGCGAAAACTATCGAATTTAAAAGAATGAATCACCGATATTCTGAATGTTGCTTTAAGAAAAATCTCTACCATTGTCATAGAAACGAATTTTGAAATTTAGAAAGATCATTTTACTTTTTGAACGAATGAGAACGAAAATTGACATAGAAATGAATTTCGAAACATTGGAAGAATAATTTTTTTCGAAAATTTTTATCTTGTTTCAGGAAAATGCAATATATTTTAGTTTGCAATATGATTAAATTAAATATAGACAATGAATAATTCAAAGTTAATAAAACGTATAAAATATAAAATTTCGATGGAACGAGAGAAATTGCGATATGTAAAATAGTTGGAAATTAAAATTGGATTTTGATTAAGTGTAAATTGATCAAACTAAAATCAATGTATCGATAATATATGTTAATGAATAATAATATTATATATTAAGGAACAAAATAAAATCAGTGAAGATAATTGAAAACTGGACGTGAAAAAAGATTTAAATAGAATTGCAATAAATAATTTACTTTGTTTGATAATATGAAAATTTTCACGTTATATAAAATAAATTTATAATACAAATTTCTAAAATTATTATAAAGATAGAAAAGATAAAATTGTTTTATTAAACAAAAAATTACTATTTCTTCTCTAAAGTTTCGAAGAAAATCAAATTCCATAATTAACTACATTAATATTAATCAATCAATAAAAGCAGGACTAAATATGCGCGTTAAATTAATTTCACTAATTACATTAATCCAATGTGCTTCCACATGTTAAATCAGATCCATACTAATTTGAAATCGTTTTACATTGCGAATTGTCAACGAAAATACCATTACATTTATTCGAATCTCCAACGTTATTACCATTACGATTATTTAAATCTATTCTCCAAAATTAAATAACTAAATTACATTCTATTCGAGGAAAGCTAAACCGATTTCATTGATTTCTTCTCGTCGATAAAAAAGAAAATCTGTTAAAAAATTCTCATCGTTCTTTAATTCGTTTTAAAAATATGTAATTGCATATAATAATATTTATCTGAATTATCTCGAGATTAGTTGATAAATTCCACGTTTGAACGATATAAATCAATCATAAATATTTTTCAGATCAATACCAGAAATATTCACAAAGCCAGAATGAAATATTCGCGATGACAGGGAAAATTCCATCTGTATTTCCACATAGAATTTTTCGTCGTGAAAAATATTGCACATTTATCTATTGAATCAAATTTTTGTTCATCTTTACATTTGCTATTTTCATTCATAAATCCCGAATTTGTTGCAACAAAAAAAGGAATCTTTCAAACAATAAAATAAAAAATCCGATATAGGAAATGTGATACATAGTTTTTACAAAAATTTCATGAATCAGAATGGATATATGTGTAAGTCGTTATGATTATTATAATTTTAAGAATTTATCATTACACGAAATGTTCACTGTAGTATTTACATGAAGTCTAAGAATTTATTAATATATCATATTAAAATAACAATAATAAAATTATTGGTCAATTAGTTTAAAAATTATGATTCCATTTAAAAAACTAAATTCGAGTTTTATGTGTCTATTTGTAAAAAAACTATTATAATATTATTATAATACATAATGTAATATATCTTTATAAATTTTCTTTTCATAATATTTTTTTCTTAAAAGATATTTCTGCACTTAAATAAAATGGATATGCGGAAGATAGATATAAATGAAGGTTGGACGCCATCTTCATATATATTTTTAGACAGCTCTTAGTGTGAATATTTCGCATTGATACATAAATTGATCTTTTAAAAAATTAGATAAAATTTGTAACCTTTGTACATGAGAGACAGTCCATACTCGTATGGCATCGAGGTACATCGAAAGTAAAAACCGAAGTCCTGATAATCGAAAGCCATACTTAGATCGTTCTTCGTCATTTTGTTCGATTCCGTGTTATAACCACCTTGATAACCGATTAAAAAACCTTTTATTGCGGTGACCACGGAGCCCAAAATATCCACGTTAAATTGTGCGTCGCTTGCTGTGAAATAGAAAATATTTTTATAAATTTGTCAAATAATTACAAATAGAAATTCGATCATTTTCGCATTAAATAAAATTATGCAAGATATATTAAATTAATTAATAACGCGAATTAAGAATTTTCTCTTTTAAACCAATTCAAAATCTGCCGTTCTTCAAATTTTCACGACAATAAAGATGTAACTCGTAATATAAACAATTCATCCCTGCGGTTTTACGCAATTCGTTGGTAAACACCGAACGTTCCATAATTCGGAATGCCTCAACCTTCAACATTAGTTTAAATTCAACACTCGTGGCCTTCATACCACGCCGTTAAACCGCAGTTAATACACAGTTAAGGCTCAAAATTCCACGTTATATCAAACGTAGCTAGATTTTCATTTAATATCGATCGAGTATCAGTGATATTAGTTGTGTCATTGAATTACTCCTACTTTGGTGAAAGTACAAATGTCAATCACGTGTATGAAGGTAAGAATCTGAACATATATGTATTTAATTAGAACGAGTTAATTATTGGAAATAATTGAAACGGAGGGAATTTTGGTAATGTAAAGTTGAAATGGATTAATTGTTTTTTTTTTATAAATAGTAAGAAAATTGGATTCGTTTATTTCTATTTTTCGTTAATTTCTTTTATCTGCGTTATACGGATAATATACTGCCATGTGTGTATAAAATTTTCCAGAGCAATTCGAAATTTAAAAAATTTTTAAAATTAAGTAAATTGTTATTTCTTATAATTTGTAAAAATATTTGATGATGAAATCAAATATTTGAGGTTTCAGGATAGCAGACTAAATTTATAAATGCAAACGTTTTTTTGAAAATTATATTAGAATATTTTATTTTTAAAAAAAAATCAAATTCAAATTTTCATTTTGAAACATTAATATCTTTAAGTGTTTGGAAAATATAAATAATGACATATTTTAATTTTAAATTAATTTAAATTTTAAAATTAGTTTTTGGATCAAGAATTGAATGAACAAAATGTACACGTGATACAATGAACATTTAGATTTCAAAAAGATCTATCTAAAAATTTAGATCTGATATAAAATTTTCAAATCCATTAACTTACTTTTTTTTTATAAAATTGGAAATATCTTTAAAAAAAATAAATTTACATTTGAACAATAAAGATTTTCATTATTAGCTAAAGATATAAATTATTAAATTATTAATGCTCATATATTGATGTAAAATATACCTCATGTTAGATAAACAGTCATAAATTTTTTTAGATTGGACAGTATCAAATAAGCTTTTCTATTTATTTAAATTATAACATGAGCACTTCTATTTTTGGTCGAGTAAGCATACAAAGTGCCTCATATAAAAAAGATCATATGCACAAATCTCTTTTAATTGGAAGTTTGAATATTGAAATGTTATACACATACATTGATGCTATGAAAACATTTTATTTCAAAATCATGAGTTTTCAAAAGTTTTTAAAATTACTAGTATATATTGATTTCTTTTATATATTTTAACTGATATTTTAAATCATTATTTTTATTTATGAACGAAATAATTAGAATAAGAATCTTTTCTCTTTTTAGAATTTTTTTCTGAATCTTAAAGAAGAAAAATGTTTCTTGCTAATTTTTTATTAATTTTCTTCTAAACTTTAAAAACTATCCTGAACTCTCGAACAAGTTTTATAACTTTCAACTTTATATCATTCTTCTAATGCGAATCACGGTAAAATTAAAATTATTACAACATTATTAAAAAAATATATTAAATTAAAAAGTAGATACAAGTTACGATTAAATTATTGTCAAAATATAATTTATGATTATAAAATAAATTATTTTATTTATTAATCATAAAAAAATATATAAATCAAAATAATCATCGTAAACTATTATTAAAATAATCTTATATCGGCAAACAATTATTATCTGCTTTTCTTTTATTCAATGCTCCACGAATTAAATGAAGTTGAAAGCTTTGTATATACCATAATTGTTAAAATTAGACATCTCTGAGATGCGCAATAGGCATCTCTAAAATCATTTATCTATCTCGACTATAAATTTAACAGATGTTAAACAGTGAAATCGACTAACAGATCGAACACGACGCGTTGAACAGTTCCTTGCTGCATTTGGCACCAATTTTTACCAATTTGGCAGTTGTGGTTGGATTATAAGTAACCTCCGATTGCATGCTAAGATCTGGGATTATGATGTCGTCTTTAGTATGGCCCAATGTAACATTATTATCCGTCGACCATTTTTGTATAAAACTTCCGTAATTTGTTTTGTATTGCGCATCCATGACACCGGTCAACTGTTAATTATGCAAATCATTTTAATAAAATTTAAATTTTGTTAAACAAATTATCCAATTTTAAACCAATTTTAAAAAGTTATTGATATTTTCGACGATATAAATAATATTTAATATCTACTAATTTAGATATTAGCGTCAAATTTGGATATTCTTTGATCATCAAGGATTCATAATTATAAATAATTTTATAATTTTGATTAATAAATCTAATTTTTATTAAATACAAAATTTAATAACGAGATGCAAAGTAAAAAGTAAAAAAAAATATTGATTTAATAATTAATTATAGCATTAGAAATACTGTGGAAATAAAAGATGAAATTTTCAAATATTTCATAAGGATAAAAATAATAGTCAAACTGTTGCTCACGAATCTATTATTGGATTTCGAGATTAAAATTTTTCTACGTTCGAAATTTGCATATTACTAAATGCACGAAGAACGATACTAATCACATTGTATCATTGTTTTTTCAATGTGATACGATTTTTTAAATTTTAATCAAATTCCACTCGATTGCTTAATATCGCAAAAATGAATTCGAAACTTAAATCGTTTGTAAATTTTCGATTTTCTTCAAAATTATTAATTTATTTTTTCGAATAAAAATTTCAAGGAAATGTTTTGGAAAATTACTTTTGATGTGTCGCAAATCAAACGTAAATCACTCCCCATATCAAGTATCTCGGATTTCGCTTTAACGCCCAATTTGATAAGAGTTTTGCCATAATGGTAGCCACTTGTGAATACATCTCTCGCGGATTTGCCCAGATCCTTAAAATTCGGCGCACTCATGACGTGTCACTTCAAAAAAGGACGAGTAAATTCCCGGACACCGAACAATTTAACTGTAAAACATGGCCATTTTTATATAGGATAAATACCTACAAACAAATAATAATAAAATATTAGTATTAATACTAATAATTTTCATTATTATAAAAATCAATAATACTTTGAAAAAATATATTTTATTAGATAAATTAACTCAGAATATTTAATTTTCTCCGATAATATATGATAATAAGTATTATATAACTCAGTAGATTATTCTCTAAACATTATTCTCTTGACAATTGTATCTTCTTTTTCTTTTCCAACAAACAAAAAAAAAATATATTTTAAAATCTTACATTTTTCTTCTTCGATTCTACGATATTGTGTAAATAATACGCTATTTGTAATTATATTACGAAAGAATTAATATCATATTCATGCAACTTGGATATTTGATTTTTCCAATTCCAAGGTTGTCAAAATTTGTCACAAATGTGATGATTTATTATGTATAAGGGTTAAGTGACATTCACCAAATCGAGACGTCGATGTAACTGTACTCGACGATGAACGCGATGATCCTCTCGATCGTGTGCAACATCGCCGTCTTTAACCTTCGTTTAAACGATGGGTTATTTGCCGAGAAATAGGGACAAGTTACTGTTACCGGTTTTTTTTGTATCGGTTTTGACAGGAATTAGACGATAAAGCCATTGACATTTTCCACATTTCGAAAAGCATTACGAGTTATATCGAGGAAGGCAGTGATTCGTTCGTAGATATTAAATCTCGTTCACATTTCGCTTCGAATCGAATACGTAATGAAAAAAATTTAGTAATTGCCTAGAATATAAACATATACTTTGATACGATGCGAATAAAAATTAAAATAAATTTACAATTATTCGAATATTACGATTCCTTCTTGCGTGTCAAAACATACAATAATTTAATTAAATATTCTACTAAGAAATAAGAATACTCGCGAAATTTTAATTTTTTAATTCCATCCATATTACACGTACCTATATCCAGAGCCTGGTAACGATACATCAACTCGTCCAACAATTTCTCCATCATTCGTGTTAATCGAATTAATTACACGAAAAAGAAGAAAATCCAGATCCGTGGCAAGTTGAATTAAGAAACAGGTACGGGGATCCGTCAAGGAGAATTTGTCGGAACGTGGAAAAAAGACGATTCTCCATCCACGGATCGAATCGACATAATTCGAGCCGACAACGTGGAATCGGATTTTTCATCCGGTCCACGCGAAACGTTCTCCGTAAATTCGAGGAGGAGTGTCGTCGAAACCTGAGATTGCCAGTCGGTGATGTCTTTTCCCGGGTTCAAGTTTGACACTTGTTTCCGGGGTAGGAAAGTTTGAGAAGCGACTTGAAAGCATGGATAAAAAGAAAATTCGCGAAGATGCGAGGGGGGAGGAGTTTTCTCGGATCGGATTTTCGTGTTAGGTAAATTGTTTCTCTGAAATGGTGATATGGTAGATGACATGTGGATGTATTATAAGATGAAATGTGATGACTAAATGTATTTGGAAATGTAAGGATATTATATATAATTATATATTAAAATGGGTAAAATATATTAATTTTTATTAATTTGTTGTAATTGATTAGTTTTAGAGATTTTTTAAAGAAAAAAGGGATCAGAAATAATGTGATCAAAATATTTTTGAAAATATAAATGAACTGTTATAAATTTTCATTCTATATGAAAATAATAAAATCGATAATACTATCATATAAATTTTTATGATAAAACATTTTTTTTTAATAATTTTAGCTATAATACTATATCATTGAAAACAAATTGATAAGTTTTCTCTTGATTTAATTGCTATATTAAAAAATTATTTTTTAGAAATCTATTTATAACTAATATATTTTATTTTCCATTAAAAATAATCTCTTTGATAAAAAATTTCTTTTTTTTTAAATACATATATCAATGATTGAGAAATATCTCATATTCACAAATTTTTAACGTCTTAATTTTAATTTTTTTTAAAAATTCTTTTTAAATTAAAATTTGCACGTGATCCCGAAATTTCTCAAAGAATTAAATTATAAGGAAGAAACTTTAATGTCAGCTGAATTTCATGCTCACGCAGGAATTAGGCTAAAATGTCAGTTTACAACAATACCCTTAATTCTCGTAATGGGCACATCGATGTGCGAGGATTCACTTTGACCCTAATCTTTATTCATCTGCCAGATCGCTCATTTCTTATCTCTAACATTTGAAGCATTAATTTGATTGAGGTCATGAATTACGATCAACCAAAAAATATTAATTTATCAAACGATAAATCTAATATTTCTGAAATGGATAAGGAAGTATTGAACAAAAAATTTTAATGCAATTATTAAGTTGAAAAACATTTTTAATCTTTTCAATTTTAATATTGTATATCTGATAAAATTTAAAAATTATTAAAAATTATACATTTTTATATATTATAAATTTTTCTAGAAAACGTATTTTATCATCCAATATAATTTAAATGCAACGAATAACGAATCAATATCATTTATATATGATTATCAAATATATCATATTTACATTTCAGAACAACATAATGTCACGATTGATCCAAATAACTTTCCATCATTTAATAACAATCGGCTGGCTAATCGGATTACTTGCTATTGCAAACGGATTTCCCCCTCGAAAAACAAAATAAAACGAAATTCTCGTCCCGCGACATTTCATGTCAAAAGGCATCGAAGTCGAAAATTTCAAGAGTGGAACGAAAAATTCGACATTTAACCGTGTCAAATCGATGCTCACACTCGAGAGTATCACGTGCATAAATTCATCGAGGATTTCCATTCTACGGCTACCATTTCCAGCAGATTTCATTCGAAACGCGGTTCCTCTCGCCTCGATGAAACGCACGTGCTGCAATATTAACCTGTATGGGAAAATGAGAAAACGATTCAACGAATGAAACGTGGAAATGAAGTTATTAACTCGATCCATGGAAATAGAATTATCCAATCAAATTAAAATGATACGATTTCGATTGTCGATCACGTGATTTAAATAAGTTGACGTTTCTTTGCTTCTAGATTTTTAAAATTGTGAAGAGTAATTTTCCAACTGTATCATTTGTTAGGAAAGAATAGATTATATTCTTAATTAATAATTGATATTTTATGCATTCATGCAAAATTTGAATGTATACAAACTTATAGAATGCAGATTACATTCATAAAAATTTAATTTTGTATAAAAATCTATCTATCTACTGAATATAACATAAAATAAAATAGATACTTCAATTGTATCTATGAATTAAATTATATTAAATATAATAAATTATATTAAAATAATTCTGTGCATTTTTTAATCGATGATTGAAATTACACTGCAAAATTATTGCAAGTGACTATTGAATCACTTTATGGTCCAGTCATTTCTATTCAACTAAATTCAATTAAAAAATTAATTTCTCTTAAATTATATATAGGATATTCGAGCCATTAGTCAGAATCAATATTATTGCTATTAGTAATAATATAGTAATAATATATTATTAGTAATAATTAATTAATAGTAATAATATATTACTAATAATATATTATTATAATTTAGATATCAATGTATTATAAATATTTATAATAATATTTTATATATTTATTTATAAATATCAATTATTAAACATACCAAGGATAGATGGATACTTGGTAAATTATTAAATTTTCAAATCAAAAGATTTTTAATTTATATAATAATACATATAAAAAAATATATAAAAATATCCATCAGATAAATTACTCTTCTTTTATTAACAAGAAAAATATTGTTACCATCTTTTTAAAGTAACATAAATTTTATACTCTTATTCGGGAAAATATTGTACACATGCTAAACACAAACATACCATGCCAACAAATCTGTGTAAATTTCTAACATAACTCAGACGTATCCTACAAGAGTAAAGTAATATACCCTATCGTACGAAAGTTTCTTAGCAATGTAAACTGTACTACACATACCTTCATCACTTGCAAACTATGCGAAGAATATACGTTTGAAAGCCGAGTTCTATTCACGTGAAAAGCGCCAATCTTCTTTCCATCTCTGGAACCATGTTATTTCAGATGTGATTCTTCTATCCTCAAGTTTCTTTCAAAAGAATAATCTCGTTTCCAGGAGTACTCCGATCGAATTCAATCATGCTAATCGCGATAGTTCAGGACATTCTGAATCACGAATCTGTGGCCCGATTCAACTTCTGTGAAAACAATTCAAACGGAATATAATTAACGGGAAACCGTTCTCACTTGGCAAATTCTGGTTTCAGGGTGCATATTGTGTATAAGGTATCCATTTCTATGGTAATACAATTTCTTGATTATTCGTAATAATATTTTTTTTAATTATAATCATTTGCAATCAACTCTCACAGAGAATTATAATAAGTAAATTAAGTTAATAATTATTTTAAACAAATCTGACAAGGGATAATTAAATATGACTCTCATCGATTTTTTTTAATTGAATTTAATGAATCAGTATTACAGAAAATGAATAAGATCCGTGAAATAGGATTTAAAATTGTAATAAACAAATATTATTTGTGTATAAAATTTTGAGTTGCAGTTCGATCAATTATATGTGAAATTGTATTTATATAGAAATGATATAAAGTTAAATATAGATTTTTAAATCTAATTTTCATTATTTCAAAGAATGGAAAAATGATGAGAAAATGTTGTATACTGTGTAGATTTAATCTTGAATGTAGCCAGTTATATTTTGAGTTGCTAACTGCTATTTGTCATATATACATATATACAGTTTGTGGTTTTCTCTGAGAACAGTCATCCAACATCTAGCTTAATTACGTTTGCATTCAACTTATTATGCTACATTGGAAGCCGCAAACTGTCACTTCTGTAGATTTTTTTTTTTGGAAAATTGATTAATGAAAAAAATTTTATTGTTATTCCATCTGAAAAAAAAATAGATTTAATTCACTTATTGTGTAAATAAACTGTGATAACACAAAATGAAAAACGAAAATGCTACATAATTATTTCATTTCTCTTCTCTTTTCATTTTTCATTATATTTCTATTATAATTTTAATAAAAATGTTTTCTGAAAATTTTATCAAATAATTAATAACGTATTCACTCAATTATATCAATTCAATTATTTCGTACAAAATTTACAAAAGGTTCTCCGTTCATTCGTTATTTCTTTCAATCTTCGATTATTTGCAATTCCACAATTCATCGTCTCCTCATTCGTATGAAATCAACTCGAAGAAGATGAAAATAAAAAATCTATAAGAAGAATTCCACAGAGGGAATTTTCATATCAATTAACAGAATTGTTTCCTTTTGTTGCAGCCGATGCTCGTCGAAACGAAACGCGGTGGCGCTGGTGGGGCCGATGAGGGTGAGGAGGATGGGGTGGAATATTACAGGCTCAGGTCATTCTCCATTACGGCGAACGGGGTCTACAACCTCGGCGATTCGCTGAAAAGCCGACGAAGCAAAAGTATCAACAGTGTCACGTCCTCTGGCACCAGCTGCAGCAGCACCAGAGAGGCCAGATTGAGGTGAGAATAGATTTATATTATGTAAAGCACGTTTTAAAGGTTAATTTTTTAATTTATACTTGTGCTTGGAAATTTTAATAATTTATATTTTTACAATTATAAGTATGTATTAATTTTTGTAGATAAAACGGAGAAAAATTTGATAATACAAAGTGTATAGATTTTTTTTGAAAATATTACGTTTTGTTTAAATCAAATGGATAATTTGGTAGAATTAATTGATATAAAGTTAGTTGTAATTATGAATCATTTTTACATGCTTTTGCTAATTAATTCGAATTTATCTCTCTCTCTCTTTCTTCGTTATATTTTTCAAATGTTGCGTATAGCGTTTATACGTATATAAAGTTAGAAAGTCAATTCTAAATGAACACAAAAGTTGATGTATAAAAATTTAATTCGTGGCTTATTTATTAAATTACAAGCAATTCAAGTTAAATGAAGATACAGAAGAGCGAGATTTCGGTGGACAATGAAGATAAAGTCATTCGTTCTGTTTTCCTTTTTTCCTTGTATTCGTGCACCAAGTATAATACAATGTTTTATCAAAGAAAGAGGAAGAATCTTTTTCCCAAGTTCAAATATGCATTAAAAACATTTAATATCGCGAAATTCATATCTTGAGAGTAATCTAATTAAACTTCTAAAGCGTTACAATCACGAAATATTTCGGCCTCGATGTCAAAACTCTTCTTTTCTCGACGCAATTAAAATCCTCCGTAATTATCGAGCAATTTCTTTGAATGCGATGTTGACGAATAACGTTTTGAGACCAAAAGATTCTTCTCCAGTTCTACTTAACAGATTAAAGGCTTTTTCTTGCGTTTCTCTCTTTCTCTCTCTTGTCTCATACAATTTCTCACCACCATGTCTCCATGTTTCTCGAATCCCAAAAGGTTATCCTACGACCGTGTGAACGATGAAACAAGATGTAATCTCGGCAAGTGCTCTTTCGCGAGAAATGGTAGAGCGGATGAGAAAGGATGAAAGAATCCATTCAAAGAAGAAGGATAAACACGTGTGAACGAATATGAATGTTAAAATAGAATTTTGAATTTTGCTAGATTTTCGATAATCATTCTGAATGATTCTTGAAATGATGAGGAAAGTGATATATATATGAATTTTTATTGATTGGAAAATTTAGGAAAAATTAATGTAAATGTATTTTTGTAGAAATTTTTGGTAAGTATAAGTTTTAAGGGTAGTTCTGAAAACGATAAATGTATTCTTCTTTTTTTAGGTTTAAAGTATTTTATATATATATTAGATATTATATAATAAAATATCCAGATATTTTATTATACATCTTCCAAATTTCATAATGAAAGGAATTACCTGTATAATAAATATTTGCAATTCCAAATTGATTGAAATAATTCATTAGTTCAGATTGTTATTGCACTTGATTTTGAATTATAGATGTTTCATTTGAATTGGTAAACGCGAAAGAGTTCGATTTTTTTATCAATCAAAAGCAATATTTGTGTAAAAAAATATTATAAAATGGATTCAATTTCTATTATTAAATTCTTTTTCTTATTTTTCTTTTATTATAATACATATTTGCAACTTATTTATAACTTATATATAACTTGGCACAAATCTAGGTCACTGTAATCCTTGACCTTGCCCTTTCTCATGTCATTTGATTTTCCAACAGCATTTACAGTTCATTTCATTCTAGGTCAATGAAGTTGCATAGGAAAAGATCAAACAGAAAAAGTACGTAAGTGAAAAAAAAAGACCAAGAATTTTATTGAGCATTCTTTTAAGAAGAAAAAATAGTGAACGATATTATTTGACAAAGAAACAAATTAAATTGAAAAAAAACTAACTTGTAGCACTGCACTTTCTTTAAATTATATCGTTATATATTAATTGTACGGAGAGATGTTCATTTTACACAAAAATCGAAAAATGACAAATTAAGAGAATCGAATAGAACTGTAATAAACGTTAATTCTTAAAGAGAAGTAGAAATAATGTTCAGGAAATGAGAGTAAGAGAGCGACAAAATCGAAATAAGACACGCGGAAAATTGTGAAAGTTGACAGGAAATCTTCTCGTATTTTGCCAGAAATAGGAATGGCTTTTTCTTTTTGCTATACGAGGCAGGACAGGAAGTCTAAATGTCCGCAATGCGTTTCCTCAAAACCGGAAAATTACGGAAGAATTCACTAACGTTGTGAAAAAGAAATGGACATGACCAAAATTTCGATGATTTGAATCTGAACGTTGGTGATGATAAAAAAATAAAAAGTATACGTATCAATATAAGTAAAAAATAGTAAAAATTCTAAAGGGTAAAAATTTTAAGGAATATTTTAAAAATTATTGATCTAGATTATCATTGATGTGAATGAATTTTAATTTATAAGTTATTAAAAATTTGGGAAATTATTATAAAATTTACTTAAAATTTGTAGTAAAAGAGTTTTGAAAAGAAAATCAATATAAAATTTTGTTATTTTAACGTCTTTATTAAAAGTAATCTTCTTATCCATTTGATAATTAATATTATAAATATTATTCATTTGATCTGAAAAATATTAAAGAGGAAGGTAAATATTTAGCGGGATTATATAAAATATAAAAAGGAGATAGCACATTGTTGATACATCGCATAAATTCAAACTGACGTCGTTTCAGTTTTATAAAAATAAAAGATAAAGCAGGGAGATAATACTTGTAGAAATAGAACAGATTGCGATAAAATGAACAATTGACGCTTATTAACTTCAAATTTATGATTCGATATTATTGCAAATCTTGATATATATTCATTTTCTTATACAAATTTTGAATTTCTTCCTTACTTTGAACAATCATTTAATTTATTGAAGCCGTTCAAAAATATTTCTCCATCCAATTTTTTATTCGTAACAAACATAGCAAGTGAAATGAAATTACTTTAATCAGACCACCCGTCTGATTAAAGATATTACTGTTCCACTTGAGAACTTTAGGAATTATATCATTTTATGATAAAAAAAACTCATTTAAGAATTAATACAATCTAAAATATTTACCAAGATGTAGTTGCTTTAATTTTTGCAAAATTATTTTAAAAATTTTATATAATAATTAAGAATAGATTACTTTTTCTTCAAATTATTCATTACTTAATATTCGTCGTATAATGTAATAAAATTCCTTCCATGAGAATGGAACAATCTTCGTCTCGCGAATATTTCGAGTTTTAAATCCATATTTGGCCTATTACCCATCCGATCTTCGAAATCCCGATCGACGAAATTGTCAATAAAATCAAAATCCCTGCCTCTCCCCAAACATATAAACCTATTTCGCTTCCCATTTTGCAAGAAAACGAAAACAACAATAAGACGCTATAAAAATACGAATGCCGATAAGAGACGAGAAAAATGTCTGGCGATGAACCCTATTTCTCTCGGATCGATACGAGTCAGCCACACGTTTGAAACGACTTTTGCTTTTCAGCTCGGCGTCACAGCTTTCAGGGATAGAGGCAGAGGAGGACACGAGCAACGAACGAGTGGCCACTTACAAAGTCGGCATGCTGGGTGCATCTGGGGTAGGGAAAACCGCCCTTACAGCGCAGTTCACCACCAGCGATTACATTTGCGCCTACGACACTTCTCTGGGTGAGTGAATCGCACGTTTCTTCATTTTCATGATAATTTGAAAGATATAGAGAAGATGATCCAATTTGTACTGTTGGATACATAATTGCATAAAACGAGTGCTGACATTAAAAATGCAACGTCGCGTTATTTTGGCAGAGATACATCACGTGATCAGATATCCATTAAAATCAGTATTGTATCGCATCATTTCACGTGATGTAATTTAATAATGATAGTGTGAG